CTCCGGGGGCTGAGGCAGGGGAATTGCTTGAACAAGAGAGGTGAAGGTTGCAGTGAGCCAAGATGGCACCATTGCACTCCAGCCTGGCAACAGAGTGAGACTCTGTCTCGAGAGAAAAAAAAAAAAAAGGAATGGGGAATGGGCCTGCTAGGGTCTTTTCGGAGCTGAGTAGAATTAGAGTCAGTAGGCCAGACAGCACAACAAGTACCCATGGTAGGAAACAGGAAGATCAGGGGGAGGGTGGGGAGGGAGCAGCAAAGGGCTCCCCGTACCCTCAGAGACATCAGTCAGTTGCGGAGTTGTGGCCCGGGATACGGAGAAGCCACCACTCTCCAAAATAGAAGCCTCTTCATCTGACAGCTCTGAGTCTGTAATGGCCAAAGCCAATGCTGTTTTCTTCACATCCACCTACAGGAGAGTCAAAATGAACACGACACATGAGGGGGTACGAGAACAAATTTATCAGGGGTATCCCCTCTCCCAAACCTCTGGCTTCCACCTCCTTTAGAGGTGGCAGCTCCAAAGCAGAAAGATGTTTCCTCTGGCTTTCTATTTGACGCCCCCATCTTCCCTGGACCTCACCACTGGGGAGAAGCCAGCCAGCTCTGCCTCGCTTTCACTCTCTGTCTCTGCCAGTGGCTCATCACCTCCTGGGGGTGCATTCTTCCCCTGCCGCTCTAGAAAGGCAAGAGTAGTATGGCAGTAACCAAGCATGAATGATGGAAGGGGAGACAAACAGCCAAAGAAGATCTAAATTCCAGGGCACCTCATGAGCCACAAGCCAAGGCCCTCCCCGCCTTTCACCCTCCCATTAGGGGAGCCCCTTACTCCTCTTGTCGTGTTTGTGATGCAAGGCATTGGCTTCTGCCTTCATGCTGTAGTCGAGCTGCATGAGCAGGGGCTCCAGGCGAGTATACATCCTTTGGATCAGCTCATGATAAACCACCAGGGGCCACAGCAGGATACTCAACACTATGGGTTAAGAAAGTCAACTAAGAGCTCCCTATGCCAATTTGCTAATGACCCCCATTCAACTGGTCCTTAAACTGAAGTGCTGAAGGTAGGCAAAGTCGTTTCCCAAGGCTGTGCCAACCTCCTCTCACCACATCCGCTGCCCTCCTCCCCACAGTTACTAATACTAAAGCATCCCTGGAGATCTCCACAAATCAGAAACTGAGCAGAGAGAGTAGTCTTCCCTCTGGATCAGTACAAAGAAAGAAGAAAGGAGAGGGCTTTAAATAGGGCAGGGACAGACCCTACTCACAGACAATGTAGGAAATCATAATCCCTGGAACATAGTGTCCCAGCACAGCCAACACAGCACAGCCAGAGCAGACTCGAACACAGAACTGCAAAGAGAAGCACAAGTCTAAGAACAGCAGGCTGAAATATGTGCCCCGCTCAGCTGGAAAAGAAACTACTGTTCAGCTGGTAGAAGGATGTGTATGTCCTTGAGGAATGGTGTGGTCCAGTTTGGTTAAGAGGATGCTCAAGACCACCAATTCAGGAAGTTGGCAATAAATAGTGCCTGATTCCTGTAATTCACACTGGTCTGCCTTGGCAGGAGAAAGTGCCAAGCTATCAGAAGCTTATTTCCTGAGGTGAGACTGCCTCCTGCACCAGGAACTAGCTGTGAATGCTGCCTCAAGGAGGCACTCAGGCCTCTTCTTTCAGGGTCTCCAACCGGGGAGTTTACATCACTCCACTCCCATCCCCTGCCACCTCTGTTCCCATTCAGTGTGTAGTGAACTGTTGTATGATCTGGGGGAGGTTACCTGAGCTGGATTCTGCCTCTTGTACTGCAGCAGCTCCTGTAGGTGAATCTGGAAGGTGAGCCAGCTCTCAGCCAGGTATCTGCACAACTCGGGCACACTCAGCAGGTGCGGCCGGGCGCCTGACCCCGCACCCTCACTGGGGAGACATGACATGACCCCTGGAGGCCTCAGATACCAGCTTCCTAGACACTCAAATTCCTCTGAGAATGCCAATGATACCTTCCTTTTAAATAAGTGAACGACCCCACCTCCCAAAAGGAGGCTGTCCTGGTCTTCGCAAGCAAAGTCAGCAGGACCCAACCCTCTGCCCCAAAAGGAGCAGGCACGCGAACACCTACATGGGAGCCTAGGACCATGACAAACCCATGGCTTGTTATCAGTCCATTCACAATGCTGGGGCATTGCCCTGCTCCATGGTGACACCAGCACCGGCAAGCAGGACAGAATGTAGGCATTTGTCTTCAAAAGGTGGCCTGCACTCACCTGTCAGAGTGTGGCTCCTCTGGGGATGATGCTAGAGAGATAGAAGGGAGACAAATTATTGAGTGGTAGGGGCCCTGGGAGACACTCCCTAAGGCAGGAATAGTTGTCCCTCATTTGCAGCCCCAGTGCACTTTCTTCAGATGCCAGTTGGGGAGCTGTCACACGTTGTTTGTGTCTGTCTCCTTCTTTAGACTTTACCCTACTCCAGCATAGGAACACATTTTACTCATGCTTATATCCCAAGCAACTCACACACAGCCCATCACCTGTTAAGTAAATTATATGGATAACAAGAAAAACAACACTGACATTCCATTTACACAGCTTATATTATATGTGAAGCACTATCACAAGTATAGGATGTGTATGAACTGATTTAATCCTCTCCTCACCTGTCTATGAAGTAAGTTCTATCATCTGTGTTTTACAGATAAGGAAATTGAGGCAAACGGAGATTGAGCTACTTTTACAAGGTCACAGACATGGTTAGTGGCGGAGCAGGGAAAGGAACCCAGGCAATATGGCTGCAGACTTCACAGTCTTAGCCACTGCACCTGCAGTAATATTAACTTTGGAAAAGGGCAATTCTCATTTTAGACAATTCCCTGCAAAAAGGAAGGGGGGTATGCCTGGGAGGCAGGTGACCTGCTGTCCATTCCCCTCACCATTCAACCCCACCCCGCGGAATCAGGCACTCAGCAAGTGCCCAAAGGGTGCTTACTGAATGAAGAAACACTCACCTGAAACGTCAGGGAGAAAGCGAGGCTGCCAGAGATCCAGCAGAAAATAGGCCAAAAGTGAGACGCTGAGTAGGAAGAAGGGCCGGAGGGACGAGGAAGACAGCAACCTTAGGGAGAGACAGGCACCTCAGCAGTGAGTGGGTGAGGGAGGCTCCTGCATCCATCTCAGAAGGCGGAAAGGCGCCTACTGATGGGGGAATGGCACCGCCAGGCCTGACTAGCGACTCAGAGACAGAAGGGACAACCTAAGCGGATGCCAGCGTGCAAAAACTGGGATGGGTCATTCCGCCGGGCCAAGTGATAACCCAGAATGGGGAATGGTGCTCTCGACCCCTCCCGCCCCCGCTCTCCCGCTCAGCCCGGCCCCGCCCCCTCCTCCGCGGCCGTTACCAGAAGAGGCCGTTGAGCGCGGCAGCCGTGACCAGGCTGTGCAGCGGCTTCTCCCACACCAGCAGCCGCTGCGCCGCAGCCAGCACCGCCTCCCAACTGCGGAGCCGCAGCCACAGCGTCGTGGCCAGGCGTCCCACCGCCTCGGCCGTGGCCGCCTCCTCCTCTGCCTCGCCGGTGGCCTCACCCATGCCTAGACTCAGACCCAGACCCAGGCCTAGGCTCAGGCCCATCCCCGGCCCCCCACTCGCGCCGGTGTTACCCCCGCCACCGCCGCTCGCCATAACCCCGCCGCAGCCGCCGCCCGAGCCCGCGAGGAGCCAGGGCTGCGCGGCCGCCGCCGGGGGCGCGTCAGGCGGAAGGGGGCGCAGCGGAGGACAGCAGAGGCTGCGGACGGGCGTCACGTGACGACAGAGCGCCGAGTCCGTCACGTGACGCGGCCCAACCGCCCGGATAGGGCGGCCGGCGCTTGCGCGCCGGCGGCTGCCGCTGACCCTGCGCCTACTGAGGTGTGTTTTCTGGCTGCCGAAATCACCCCGGGTGTGAGTCCGGGTCCCTGTCCCGGCAGTCGAGCCCGTTTTCTTATCCCACAGTGCGCCGGGCGGCTAGGGAGTGTGGTGCTGCCCCGGTATCCCCCGTGTGGGGCAGGAAGTGGGCTTCCAGACGCCCAGTATCCCCGGTAGGATCTGCTTCTGCTCGGGAAGGGCGGTGGCCGTCCCATTTCTCAACCCACAACGCACTGGTCCTCCCAGTTCTCTCCTCTCAGCGGGTAAACAAACACACCAGCGCGTGACTCGACAGACTCAAAAACAGCTCCATCTACTCAGAAAACTTGTTTTTTTCTTGTCTCCTTAAACTTTCCCACCTCGGCCTCCTCAAGCATGAGATTGAAAGCGGGAGGTGGGTTTAAAAACAAAACCTTGGGTGGATGCAGTTTACTGTTGGGTGGACGTGTTGACACGTTTTGGGGCCTTATATTCGCTTAAGATCCAGAATTTTCGCAGTAACCTTTGGTTTAAAAGTTCAGATTACACTAAAAAGAACGCCTGGGTTTCTTTTCCTCCTTGTCCATAGTTCACCCACTGATACATTTCTTGTGTATCCTTTCAGATGCTTTTCGTACGAATTGCTGAGTGTGTATAATCTCCCTTTCTAAAAAGCAATTGACAACAACTGCCTGTTGTGCGTCTCGTCTTATTCACATTAACTTCATTGCTACGGAAAGGTCTGCCTGACTCCTTCATCCTCAGTGCGGCGTGGTCCCCTAGGAGTTGTCCCCATTTCTCAGACGGTCGCCTGAGGCTCAGCTCTGGGACTTGGCCGCTCTCGGGGAGACCAGGAGTTCGAGTCCGGGGCCTGCCCACAGGGCTGGAGGCTGGGCGGAGCGGGCGGCAGGAAGTGCGGAGCGCCGACTCGCGGGCGGCATCCCCGCAGCTAGTAAACGCCGGTCGGACGCGGCACGCGCGCAGTAGGCGCCTCGCAGCTAGGTCTCCTCTATCTGCGAGGTGAGCGCCGCACGGACGCTCGACGCCGGGCTCCCGGGGCCTAGGGCTCCCCGCCGTGCCAAACCCGGGACGGAACAGGAAGAGGCGCCCGCCAGCCCGGGCCCCGCCTTCCGCCTCCGGGGGGAGGGAGCTGCGAGGGCCAGGGCGGCGGCCCGCAACGGGGAGGCAGCCGCGCAAGGTGGACAGGCGGGCGAGGACAGCTCCGCGCGCCCCCCACAACTCGTTTTCTTCCCTTCCCTTCACCTTGGCAGGGCGGAGGCGCGATGGACCTGACCGGGCTCCTGCTGGACGAAGAAGGCACCTTCTCCCTCGCCGGCTTCCAGGACTTCACGGTGAGCGCGCGGCCCGCCTTCTCCCCAGCCTCCCGGCGTGCCCCTCCGGCCCCGGGCGGTGCCGCGAGCTCGCCCGACTCCCGTGCCGGGACTGGGCGGCAGCCGCTCGAGTAGTCTCTCCTCAAAGCGGCGGCCGCTTTGGCCCAGAGGGAGAGCCACGGGGTATAGGAATGGGGGTAGGGGTGGCCAGACTAGGGCCCTTCTCGGAGAACTTCTCCCGGGGAGCCCTCGATGAGGGTAGGGGAGCCTCCTTCTGTGGACCAGGCTGCCATTGGCAAGCGATTCAGAGAATGCGGGTCTGGGTATGGCATGGGCCTCCTGGCCGTGAGGCCGGCCTGTCCTCCGCACCGACTTCCAGCCCGGAGCCAGGATCTCCATCATACCTTTCCCTGCCCTTCACCCTCTGCTGCGCCTGCCTTGTTTCAGTTCCTCCCAGGACACCAGAAGCTGAGTGCCCGGATCCGAAGGAGGCTCTACTATGGCTGGGACTGGGAAGCCAACTGTAGCCTGGAGGAGCTCTCCAGCCCGGTGGCAGGTTAGGCAGTGTTGTATGACTGGGCAAGTGAGAAGCATGAAAATGGGGTTGTTATCAGCCATTAAAATGATTCGAGGTTTTGCCCCGTCTGCACTGTCTCTTCATTGGTAGCTTGTTGGTACTTGATTTAAGAGAACAGTTTGTATTTCCCATTCTTTTAGCCCAAGTGAATAAAAACATTTACAAACCACTCTTGATTTATATATTGAAAATCATTTTCCAAGGATATCCATTATATGTTCCCCAAGTAAACAAGGCCTGTTTATGCCACAGATGAACAGCAGTGATAGACAAATCTGGATAATTTCAGGTGACAGGGCAGTAAGCTTTCCTGCTAGAATGAACTGAAATTCAAACTTGGAATGGGCTTTTTGTCTCGGTGTGGGAGAATTTGATTTCTATGTTGTTACTGTGGTCCTGGTCCTGTCCCCAAGGCCTCAGAAAATACAGATCTGCGTCTTCTGCTAGGTGTGTTGGGGGTGGGTACTTACTTGCTCACTTGGCCTTCCTTCTGTCCCTTGCAGACATTGCTGTGGAACTGCTCCAAAAGGCAGCCCCCAGCCCTATTCGCCGACTCCAGAAGAAATACGTAGCTCATGTGTCCCGGTGAGCCTGAAAATGAGGATAGGATGAGAGTGTTTGGACCCTAGAGAAAGAGGAATAGTTTTTTCTTTTTCTTTCTTTTTTTTTTTTTTTTTTTCTTNGTTTCATTACATCCGTCAAAGGGAAGGCTCTTATGTGGGCAGAAGTGTATTACTTATTCTGCCTATTTTTTCCTTTCTTGAGATAGTCTTGCTCTACTGCCCAGGCTGGAGTGCAGTGGCACAATCTCAGCTCACTGCAACCTCCATCTCCTGGGTTCCAGTGATTCTTGTGCCACAGCCTACCTAGTAGTTGGGACTACAGGCACGCACCACCACCCCTAGCTAATTTTTGTATTTTTGATAGAGACAGGGTTTCACCATATTGGTCTTGAACTCCTGGCCTCAAGTGATCCACCCACCTTGGCCTTCCAAAGTGCTAGGATTACACGCATGAGCCACTGTGCCCATCCAGGAATAGTTTTTTCCAAAGATAAGAAGTTAGGACATGAGCTAGCATCTTAAAACCTGCAAGAGTCGAAGGACCCTTGGGTTTAATTAGTGATCCTTTCTACCCTCAGGGAGGCGTGTATCTCCCCATGTGCTATGATGCTGGCTCTGGTGTACATTGAAAGGCTCCGGCACCGAAACCCAGACTACTTGCAGCACGTGTCATCCTCTGACTTGTTCTTGATCTCAATGGTAAGATACCCCCTCCCCATCTCCCTAGTGAGCCAGGAGCCTGCTATGAGCTCTGCTCTATCACTTCTGGTTCCTCCGCAGATGGTGGCCAGTAAGTACCTCTATGATGAAGGGGAGGAGGAGGAGGTCTTCAATGATGAATGGGGAGCTGCTGGGGGTGTGGCCGTGCCCACTCTCAATGCCTTGGAGAGGGGCTTCCTGAGTGCCATGGTGAGTAGCTGTTCTCCCTCTTGCTCAGTTTCCCTGGCCCATCTTTACCATACTTAAGTCCTTTGTTCTTGTACAGCTTTCTGTTGGTTTGTCATTTGTCTTCTGTTTTTCTTGTGCCTTTGTGTTAGTGTCTTCATTTCCTATCTCTGCAGTACTAACCACAGTTTTGGAGATTCTAGAGCAGTGAGGCTCTATTTCTCTATTCCTCCAGGGTCCCACAGGGTACACTCTGAATCAGAGTTTATCCTACTGGGTTCTGAGTATTTGTGTCCATACTTTTTCTGCCCCTAGATGTTTAGCTCCCTGTGGGCATGAACCATTCTCAGCATCATTTTCTCTCCTCTTCCTTAATGGAGGGTATAACGTGAAACCAGGCAGGTGGTGATTCAGTGAGTTAATATGTAAAAGGTTTTGAGACAGTATCTGGCACATAGTAAGTGCTGAATATGCATTAGCTATAGTGGTGGTTGTAGTTGCTTCTATGGCTCTTATTATTAAATGATTGTGGCTCATATCCAAGTCTGGTTTGGTGTCCTCTCTCCTTACAGGATTGGCGTCTCTACACTGACCCTCGAGAGATCTTTGAGGTGCTGAGCTGGCTGGAGAGCTGGTAGGTCCTAGGAGTTGAGAAGAAGGGCTTGAGGGATTTGGGGTGGGGGGAGATAAGAGTCTGTGTAACTAGGGGTGAAGGGAGACAAGAAAGAGAATTGCCAAGATAGTGGTTCCCAAATATATGTGTCCTCTTCATCATCATCTTTGGGAAGGTGGGAAGCAGCTTATTTAAAATACATGTCTTGGGTGGGTACGGTAGTTATGCCTGTAATCCTAGCACTCTGGGAGGGCAAGGCAGGAGGATTGCTCGAGTCCAGGATTTCGAGACCAGCCTGGCAATATAGCAAGACCCCTGACCTTACCAGAAAAAAATATTAGCCAGGTGCAGTGGAGTACACCCATAATCCCAGCTCAGGAGGCTGAGGCTAGAGGATCACTTGAGTCCAGGATGTCGAGCCTGCAGTGAGCTATGATTGCACTACTGCACTCTAGTCTGGGAAACAGCAAGATCCTGTCTTAACAAAATAAATAAATAAAAATAAATAAAATATAGGTCTTGGTCTCACCCTTAGTTTCTAGATCAGCAGATAGCCTAGGAATCTGTAGGTTTAACAAGCTCCCCAGTGTGTCCTGGTGGGTCCTGGGTGACAGGAGGGTGCCACTGGGCTGGCTGAGGGAGAGTTGCATACTCTGTCATTTCTCTATTTCCCCTAGTGTGGCTGAGCAGCAGGGACGGCGGCGAGGCTGGTACACCTACACAGACCTGTGTGTGCTGCTGGAGCAGCCAACCTGGCAGTTCGCCCTGGGCTCCCTCTGCCAGCGGCTGGTAAAGGTGAGGAGGGCTTGGAAGGACAGGAGCTTCAGCAGGTTGGTGTATAGGGTGGGATGGTGTGAAGTGATTGCTGAAAGGCCCGAGAGATGGGGTTGGGAATAGATGGGCAAGATGGGGTATAAATGGCTCCAACTGGAACACAAGTTTCTAGAGATAATGGGTGAGAATGTGTTAAAGACAGTCAGAATCCTTTCTTACCTCCTCTCCTGCAGCTGTCCTGCCTGTTAGCTGTGGCATATGTGAGCAGTGTGGCCCTGGCTGTGGCATCAGTGGCCGTAATACATCAGTCTTTGGGGCTGTCCTGCAGCCCTGAACCTGGGCCACCTGACCTTGGACTGACCTCCCGGTGCCTCCTGGAGCCCTGCATACCTTCTGTGCCACGATGCCTGCCATCTGCTGCTAATGTCTCCAGCTACCTAGAAGGCAGCACAGGGCTGCAGTCACTCTGGGGCAGTCTTCTGGCCTCGCTGACTCCTCCACCATTGCCTCCCCCAGAACCCCCTGCCCCTCCTACTCTTCTTCATAACTGCCCCCTTTGCCAGAAGCTCCAGAGAGACTCCCCAACCTGCCGTGCCTGCCACCACCGCAACCGTACAGTCCCTGCTGGGCAGCCCAGCCCCTGGTACCATACCTATGGCCTGGCTCCTCCCTGGCCCTGGAGTCCAGTGCCCCCTTCGCTTCCCCAGCCCCAGCAATGTTCCCTTTTCAGCGTCATGGAGCTGGCTCGCCTCAAGTCTTTCATTTTCCCAGGCTAGGTTGGGCTCCGAGGAATGCATTAAGAGGGTGTGGGAGTTCTGAGAACCTGGAGGAGCAAAGCTTGATTTAGATCCTCTCTGGGTCCTTGGCAGATCCCCTGTCCTCCTGGGTGGGAGCTTATGGGATGGTGGGGCAGAAGGACTAAAGGTCATTCACTCCTAGACCTCAGCGGCTGTCTGGCTGCTTGGCCAGGACCATGATGGCACCAGGGAGAGCTTCCACTTGGTAACCAGGGACATGTCCCAGATGGACATAGTAGAAGCCCTTCTCTGCCTCCCTGGGCTTTTCTAGACGTTTACTTTTTAGTTCCTTAGGATGGAAGGGTAAAGGTGGGAGATAAGGGAAGTGGGGTGAGAGGAGGAAGGAAATGTTGACGGGCCTGTGTGATGTTCCTGAGGCAGAAGAGCCAGGGACTGATGGGGTCAGGTGGGAGCTGCTGGGTGAGGCAGGGAACCCTTTTCACTCCCGTTCCTTAGCTTTAGTCTAGTGGAGCGAAGGACTGCTGGGACCTTCAACCCTGACCTTTTGTCTTCCAGTGTTCTCTTAGTGTCCTGCTCCTAGGCTTCCTTCTCTTCTGGTTTCTCTCCCGGGTGTTCTCTTCCCAGGCCTCTCTGGCCACTGCTTTGTATCAGGGTTTTTCACGCTTTTGTAGAACTGAGGTTTCAATAAACAGTTTCGGTTGCATGGCCTGGACTTTTCCTTCTGCGGCAACCCTTAAAGATCTTTCCTCCCTGTATCTACCTTCCAAGCCTCCTTGCTTCCTCATCCTGTCATCTCACAAACCATTTTGTCTGAACCTCATCTCAGGACTTTCCTATCATTTAATAGGCATAGGCTTCCATTTCCAACTTTGTTCCTGCTCCCAGGACCCTGGGCCCTAGCACTTTCGACTTGGGATGCCATGGGGCACAAAGAGTGACTGTCCCGTGCCTGAGTTGGCCTTGTCTGTCACTTGTTCTGGGTGAGCACTCTTCTTGTGGATTCCGAAGCTCGTCTCCTGGAGAGGGGCCAGGCCTTGTATCCAGCACCATCGGGAGCTCCTGAGAGCAAGCCATGAGGACACCAATCTCCTGACCACCTCACTGGGCTGACACATGGTGATGGTCACATGTGTTTAACAATTCCAAGAACTTGAAGAACTCCAAGGCTGGGTCATCACCCGAAGAAGGAAAATAGTCTGGGCAGCTTGGCCGAGTGTATCAGGGACTGCTGAGGATCCTTCACGGAAGAGGTGGTTCTGCCCCCTAGAGGGCATTTTGGAAATTCATGGGCCATTTTTTCATTGTCAGAAGGATTTGAGGGTATGCTACTAGCATTTCATCAACCTGGGCAGGATGCTAGACATCCTGAAATGCTCAGACCTCCCTTACTGTGAAGAATTCCCAAGACAACTTTTGAATGACCAGCTTTATGTATATGAAAACTCTGTTTATTTATCTGAGCCTAGAACTATCTTTGTAGCTCTAAACATAAAACAGTGTTTGTGCATTTTGGAAAAGACTGAGTTTGCTAGGAATTCATTCCCATGTCAATTAAAACTACTTTGTTTTACTTTGCACTTTAACCAAAATTTTGCCATTTTGGAAAATCGGGTTACCAACATCAGCTTTCACTGTAGCTATTGCAACCACAGCGATTCTACGTGGGGTGTGGGAATTGACTACTTCATTGTACTTTATTGTCTTCTGGTTTAGTTGTGCTTAAGCCTTCACATAATGAAATAACATGTTATAAATTTTTTTTTTTTTTTTTTTTTGA